TCTCTCCCTTTCTTACCAAACTATTAAGTCACACGTGCTCCTTGCAAGTCACTGGGTTTTTTTGATTGTTGCTGTTGTCCCAGCAACAGAAATACAGGGTGTGTGCAGCTTTCCATCAGTGCAAGCAACCACTGTGAGCTGAAGCACTGATGACTAATTCATACACAAATCATCCTGTATTTTCCAAATGCATGATCAGGTGGTTGCAGCTTTGGAGAGAATGAATAATTTGAAGGAGTTTGTATCTAACACGACTGGATATGTGTTTTTGTATTATCTAAATATTTCATTAAAGCAAGCAAACTAATTTTATTACAGAAAAAGGTGCAGTCAGCCTTTTTCCCAAATGGAATTTTTCAAAAACTCAGTGTATGAAAATCAAACTGAGGCCTGGTTAAAATGTTTAAACTTGATTTCTATGCAGTTTTAGAACAAAGACAATACTAAACATTTATACCAAATTTCTAGTATAGAACATAGCTCTGTTGGCTGTGGTGTGGGTATCAGAATTAAAAGAAATCAGCCCTACCCCTGCCCCAGTAAGGCCCTGTCTTTTCATGTGCCCTTTGTTTTCCATGTTGGCTGGTGTGATTTTATATCCTTTTCTGGGATTTTGCTCCCACACACTGCAGGGATTCAGGGAGGAGCAGTGAGGGACAGTCTTTTGACATTAGATTTGAAGGATTGACCTAATTTGTGTAGGGCACACACATATTGGCTTATATTTATACCTGCTTATATTCATAGTGTTTCTACTAAATATTTTATTAGTATAATAAGTTCTAATTATAGTATATTAAAAGCAATGAGTTTGAAAAGAAAGTTTTCCTTTTAATTTATAAATATATAAACATCAATGCTAAAGCACCTAATCTTGGTTTCAGATCTCTAGTCAGAAATCCAGGAAGTTTACTGAGTGGTAAAAACTGGTTGCAAACAGGATTCTCTTGTCTTCATTGTTACCTCCTTTAATTTCCTTTTGATTTACATAGTGAGGAGCAGAAGTATTTTTGATAATAAAGAAAATAGTTCTTTGCATTTGTGGATTCGTTAGCCTCCAGATGGTGAAGGAGAGGAGAAAAACTGAAAATCTGTAATGATGCAGAGTGCATATGCTTCAGAGCAAGCTAAGTCAGCATGGACAGTCTGGGGAAAGAAACACAGAAGCAAGGAAGAAGGCATACAGGACAAAAGCTAAAATTAATTCATCATTGCTTACTGCAAGGGACTAGTGAAAAATTGTCTACAACTCTGAAAATGCTGTAAGATACTCAGTTTTTATAAATTTGGTAGTAATTTTCTTGTTTACCACTGCATGTGGCAAAATTCTTGAATTTTAATAGTTTTAAATAACCACCTTTTCAATTGTGAGTTTGTTCTCTTGTGTCTGAATTCTGTCCTGGCATCTCTTCCCCTCCTCTGGCAGCTGCGTGCCCAGCCTGGTGGATGCAGTGCCCTCCCTCCACTTGCTGCCTGCTCTGCCCCAAGCCTGGGATGCCCAGGGAGCACCTGCAAAGCCCTGATGCTGCTGGGCTCTTTCTGCTCACTAATGGGGCTAAAAATAGCAACTGCTGGGGGTGATTTCAGCACAGCCACGTCTGCAGGCTCATTTCAGAGTCTGGCCCATGAATATCTTGTGTAACTAATGGCTGCATCAATATTCTAGATCAAAACACAAAAGGATTTTTAGCCAGTGATTCTAAATTGCTTGTTAGCTAATAAAGGATTAGAGGTTTTTAACATTGATCCCTCTTCTGCAGTGCCACCAGCTGTACTTTTCATCTTTCATTTGAGTAGATGTCAAATTATTTCTTTTTGTATGTTTGTATGTGCATGTGTATGCATATAGAAGTTTTTCAGTCAGAGGATAGATTTATTGTGAGAGCTATTCTGGCAGTGTGTTTTCCACTTCCCTGTACACATTTGATAAGATTTAGGTTGTGGGGGGGGATTTTGGTTGTGGTTTTTTTTGAGGTGTGGGGGGATTGTTAAGGTTTTGGGTTTTGTTGCGTTTTTTTGGGTTTTTTCCCAGAAAACAGAGGGAAACTTTTAAATACGGAATAAAACACAGTAGCATAAGAATTCTTTTGTTTGTGTAAATTATGCAAGAGGTATGTCACAAGCCATAATGTCATTATCTCTACTGTTGTTTTCTTTACATTCCATTGAAAAGATTCTTTTCTCTTGCACCTGCATTGAAACATCAGTTGTGTAGTACATTGGATAGGCCCAAAGAGCTGTCCCATATGCAGAGGAGCACACAGATATGCTGTGGCTGAAAGGTAAAGGCATTGCAGTCTCACATCTCTTCAGTGGGGCTCTCCTTTCTGCTGCCTCCAGGAAATCACAGCCATGGGCAGTGTAGGCAGCAGTGTCCCCATTCTGTTGCACTGGTGTTTCCCATTTAAATGTAATTTGACAGCTACAAGCTTTAGGGGGTAAAATTTAAAATTATAAATAAGCATCTATATAATATTAAATACATACATAACCTTGATGTCCAAAATCAGGTAATCCCAGTTGACTGTAATGATATTTTTGCTTTCTCCTATTGGGGGGGTAGGCAGGTCTCTGGCTTTTTGGAGTCGGGAGGAATTTCCTCTCTTTGTAGCTCAGTGTTTAGTTCACTCCATGTTTGTTTGTTGCCTCTGTACTTGAGGAAGGAGTATTTTAATGAACTGTATTTGCCAGTGCAATGAAATCCTCCTGCTGGGGAGACAGCCCAGCAGCCACTCCAGTGTTGTGTCAGAGAGCAGCTCCTGCTGCCAGGTGGATGCAGTCCAGTGTTTTCTGCCCTCCAGTGCTGTGCAGACCCAGGACCACCTCCTGGCTGGCAGAGGTACAGAAACAACTGCCAGCAGAGAAAGCACAAGGAAATACCCTAACTAGAGAGAGACTGTCTAAAGGCATGCAGAAGGAATTTGCATTACCAGCAGAAGGAGAAAAATCTCATGTGAACACTTTGGGTTTCTAGTTTTCTAAAAGGATCTAGATGAAAGGTTGTGCAGTGCATTTTTAGGGCCTCCAGGCAATTACTTAGATATCAGAGTAAAGCTTATAATTGGGGTATGGGGAGGATGAAAGGACAGAGTTAGGAACAAATTCAATTTATAACATTAAATGATTGCATAATAATCCTTTTGCATTAAATTAAACAATAATAAGTGTATTCAAGCTATGCGTTATCTGTATATCTATGCTTTTAACTGTAATGGTTTTTTTCCATTGCCATGTATTTACAAGTTCTCTTGCTAAGGATGAGTTTTGAATAAATAATTGTGTTTATAAAGTTTTCTGTAAGAAGATGCAAATTTGTCATCTGATGCTTGTAATGTGCCAGAAGGTGCCTTTCCCTTTAGGGAATATTTTACTTTGATTGCTAATCATATCAAGACCATTGCAAACAGCTAAGCACAAGGTGTCCTTGGAAAATGAGGTTTTTTAGTAACCATTTTCCCCACAAAGCTAGGCAATATGAACAGATTATTTCTTTAAATGGCAGTGGTTTTCAGCACTAAAGCTGGATCTTGGTAAGTCCCTTAGCAAAATTTGTGTTGGTATTTCAAACAACATTTTTGGATTCTTCTCTTAAGCTCTTCTTCTGTTTGGGAAGTGATGATCTCTGTAACCCTTTGTGTGATGGCTGGCTGGATACAGAGAATGAGAACCATCTCATGCATGAAGTTGGTTGTGTCAAAACATGCACAGACCCATGGAGAAAAATGACCTTAAGTTCAAGTTATTGTTGACTCTCCTGTAAAACTGGGCAAGCCAGGTGTCTGCTTTGTTACTTTGGTTTCTCTGTGAACATTCAAATATTTGTGATAAAAAATCGTTGTTGATAGTGGGCTGAACTGTAAGGTGAGATCTGGACACTTCTTTGTCAAAACTGAGGTGCACTAAAAGCACAACAGTCTTTTTTGTGGAAGTGAAATTGAACCTGTCAGGGGTAATCAGGCAATCACTTCCCTGCCCCGATGCTCGAGCACAGGGGCTGCACCCTCTACACTCCTGTGTGGACATCACTGAATCTTTGCCAAGTGTGAAGTATTTTGTAGATAAATCTTCTGAAGAAGAAAGATAATTGCTTTTCCTCTGATTTACTTAAACATTTTCATCTTGATTTCTAAACACTGGAGTGTGTCAGCACTAAAGGTTTTGCAAATGACAGGGGCATGATGCTGTAGGAGGAAGCTCCCTGCATACAAGAAATGCTGTCTCTGTTAGCCATCCTTAGGATGCTGGTTAGAAATTTTCCATATACTTCCTGCTTTGTCTGGATTAGTTATACACACACACCCCTACTGTCTGTAAGTTCAGAGAGCTCTCAAAGTTGAGCTCAGGAACCTGGCTGAGAGAGAACTAAAGCTGTTAGCCCAGCCTTGAAAGCTATGGGTGGACTATGCTAAACTCTGCTTATTTAAATGCTTTTCTCAAGAAATGAAAATCAGTAAGGATGTTCATTGCAGAGGGGTGGGACCTGACTAGTGTGTTATAACAAGCTGGAGCCTTGCAATTAAATTTTTTAAATCATGGTTTGATATAATCTTAAATAATTGCATTGGACTTGCTTGGCATTTGGGTACAAGGGCCAGAGGAAAGATGATCCTGGCTTGTTTGAATTCAGGGGACTGTGGGGATTGAGGAAGCTTATTAAGAGATTTTCATTTTCACTGTTATCTTCTCATGGTATGGACAGTCCTGCTGTGTATGGGGACTCCAAGAACATCCATTTCACTTTGCATTAGTTGAGGTGATTCCTCGGATGCTCACGGCAGCACATCGTGGATCCAGACTGAGTGGGAAAGAGCCACGTGAGCGTGTCACTGCTCTATGTACATTAGATAGCAGGTCTTGGGTGCATAGTGTAAGGCTGAATTACAGCAGGGACTTATTCAGCACTGTTGCTTTCTGCTCATGCTTTCTGCTAATGACATTAAACACCATTTGGTCTTAGCTGGGTGCATCTGGATTAACGTCAGTGCATTCTCTTGTTGTAGGAGCAGCTTACTGCCAGTTCATGGACATGTTGTTCCCAGGGTGCATTAGCTTGAAGAAAGTAAAGTTTCAAGCAAAGCTGGAGCATGAGTACATTCACAACTTCAAACTTCTGCAGGCATCATTTAAAAGAATGAATGTGGATAAGGTAGGAATTCTGTATTTATATTTTGATCACTACATGTTTCAAAAGTTACATAAATTGTGTACATTAATAAATAGGGGAAACTAGCTTCAAAATACTTGAAAATGTGCTTTTTCAACTTTTGGATGGAGAACTAGAATTGCAATAAATGTTCTTGACCTTTCATCATCTGAAAAGGGTATTTGGGCATGAAGGGAGAAGTTTGGCATTTGGCTTCATTTAGGTACAAATTGAAAATTGAGTCCACATGTCTGCTGAGGAGTTGTGCCATCTTAACTCATTATATCTTAATACCAGAAACCCTTTGATAAAACTCCATGTGTTGGAAGTTCCTTGTCATCAGTGAATCTTCATTTTTTGATAAGTAAAATTATTGGTGACCTAAATTTCCAATAAAACATATTTGAAAATATGCTGTGCTGTTCTTATAAGTATTCAATTTTTTTTTTGTCCAAAGCAGGGTTTGAGGAATTTAAATTATTCAAAAGCTGGAATAATTTACCCAGTGATTGAATAGATGGGTAGCACATGTGATCTTGTAAAGTTAAGGATGGAAGCCTCTGAGAAAATGCTTGTTCAGCCTTAAGGGATTTGGTTTATTCTTGAATGTGGGAGTTTGACAGACTCACCAATATAAATTACTGTGTTGATAAAAATGAATAATGGAAGTTATATTATCATGCTTATAGTTTTACACTTATACACTACCTGTTTACCCTTTTAAAGTTCTGCCCTGGCTTTTAGTGTTGCCTTGTTCTGCAATTTAAACAGTCGTAACAGAGGGTGCCTTCAGACTTCTACGAAGAACTGGAAAACACTCATTGTTTCATGAAATGTTATGGATACTTCTATTTACAGTGTGATTTGCTAGTGAAACATTGGGAAGACTAATGTAGTCAATTTTCCTGTAGAGAGCAAATTTATCATGCCTCTTTAATGTAGAGTTGAGGTACAAATGGAACAATCTGAAAAGCCATGAAAAGTGCAATGTCAATTCTTGCAGAAGCATCATGGATTTATAAAATGCTGTACAGTTGGCTTAATCCTGAAGAAGAAAACGAAAACCCTTTTCCAGCTGAAAATTCATAACATTCAAGAGGCATTGAGGTCCATCTAACTTGGCTGTTTCATCAGCTGCATGAATTAAGCAAAGCAGGGCAGCTTTTCTGCAGTTGTAGTCCCTGTCTGCCCACAGTGTCTGGAAGCCTTGAGTACTTTGATATTGGCTGGAGACACCTTTTGGAGGTTTCATGTCTGTGAAAAATTTCTAAGATATTAGAGAACGTGGAGACACCCTCATAGCCTTTCCTTTCTTTTAGAAGAACTTTAAAAGGCATTTAAGTCAACTTCTGCATGTCCACAAACTGTTCTATGTATAGCTATATGTGGAACAGAAAGAAATTACAAGGTTAAAACCTCAGGCTTGGTTCATATGATGACCATGTGCTACCAAAATGTAGGTTGGTTTGAACTTTAGCATGTCTTGGAAAAGCTGCTGGGCTTTGTAGTTCAAACAGTAGGACAGAGAGAAAGAAACATCTGTCTGGAGTTTTTGAAGAATTGTTTGTTTGTAGCACGTCAAACTGTACTGTGTCCATTAAAACCAGAAATCCCTAGCTAGCTGAATACAGTGTTACTCCCAGAACAGTGTCATTCATCATGGGATGTAGCCATGGGATGTAAGGGGGTGCTTCTGTGGAGCCATAGCTATAAAGGCTTACATGCACCTTATGAATTGCTACTTCAAAGGCTGGGTCTCACTGGGTTTTGTTTTCTTTTTTTAAGAGCACTTGCAAATTGCCCCTTTTTTTAAGGAACAAAACAATGGCAGAGGTTTATTTGTTGGTGCAGTTAGTAGATTTTTATCAAATAAGTGTATATGTAATTTTTATATTTAAAAACAGCAGTGATGTAATATTGGATGTTAATATCTACCTTTTAGGTAATTCCTGTGGAAAAACTGGTCAAAGGGCGCTTCCAAGACAACTTAGATTTCATTCAATGGTTTAAGAAGTTCTTTGATGCTAACTATGATGGGAAGGAGTATGATCCTGTGGAAGCTCGACAAGGCCAAGATGCTCTTCCTCCACCAGATCCTGGTGAACAGATCTTTAACCTGCCCAAAAAGTCTCACCATGCAAACTCTCCAACTGCAGGTATTTTGCCTCTTAAAGAATTCCATTTCTGTCTCTGAAGACAATTATAAACTGTGATCCGCTCTACTTAAATACTAGTTAAAAATTATTTCCTTGGGTGGTTGTGCCATTCTTTTTACCTTATCATAGGCTTAGCATCTTGAGACAGCAGAAAGTTAACATCTTCTGTGCTCTAGTTTGGCCCGGCCCTATTCAGCATAGGGTCTTCTCCACTGAACTCCCTCCATGGTAAATGTCATGGACTCCAGTAATGTCTGGTGGTGGAGACAAAGGCTTTTAACAATCCTGTTGCTGAATGTGGTATGTGCAAGTGTATTCAAGAACATTAAATGGAGTGTGTTCCTCTTTCACACCTCCACCTTTATAGGGAAATGCTGATACAGGCTGATTTATTTTTTAATTTTTATGGTGAGTAAAATGTTTACAAATCTGAAGGGCTGACCAAAAGAACAAAAATTAAGTTATTTTTGGTTTTATGTGTGCTTATTGTGTGGGTATGCTAGTCCTCCTAACTGAAAAACATGTAGATTTTGCTCTTTCACAAAGATACCTCAATCTTCTAATATTTTATTTTGTGCTTGTGTTGGGTTTTGCTAGAATAGAGATAACTCTTCAGAGGAGATTGGTGCTAAATTTTGAATTTAAAACCAAAACAGTGTTGATAAGGCATGGATGTTTTAATTATTGCTAATCAGTACTTACACAGTGTCCAGGCTTTGTCACATTGCCTTGCCAACAAGCAGGCTGGGGGTGCCCAATTAATTTGGAGGGGACACAGCCAGGACAGCTGACCCCAATAGACTGCACAGATAATCCATACCACATGGCATCGTGCTTAGCCAGAAAAGCTGGAGGAATAAGGAGAAGGGTGGGGAGGGATGTTGAGAGTTACAGCATTTGTCTTGCCAAATCACCATTATGAGTGATGGTCTGGCTTTCCTGGAGACAGGTTAATTCCTGCCTGCCCCTGGGAAGTGGTGAATGAATTGTTTGCATGGATTTTGTTTTACCTAATAAACTGTCTTTATCTCAACCCATGAATTTTCTCACATTTCCCCTTTTGAGTTTCTCCCCCATCTCACTGCAGGGGACAGTGAGCCATCAGCTGTGGGGGCTCAGCTGCCTGCTGGGTTAAACCACAGCAGTGTTTCTGGGACAGGCCAAAGGAGTAACCCTGATCTTTGGTGTTTATGTAATGTGGCTGTGACTAGTCACTAAGCAGATGCTGGTTTTGTTAACTGAGAATTAAGTGAAGAGGAGAGCAGCTAACATTTAAGAAAAAGAAATAGTCACTAAAAAAATATTACTGGACATGGGTTTGTGTATATGGAAATACACATGCACACACACCTAATTCCTTTATTGGTTTGTCCTAGGTTTATGCTAAACAATTTCTCAAATAAGGACTAATATTTAGTTGATTTTAAACCTGTGACCTGTCCTCACATGGGCTGGGATATGCAGCAGTACTCACAAAAGCAGGGGCAGGTGTGAAGCATGAAGCACCCTCACTTTTAGGCTGCCTTGTGCTCTGGAATCCTACCCAGATTTCAGTGTTCTGCTCTGATCACTTCTGACGTCAGAGTGGGGCATACTTGGCCAGCTGCCCTCAGCTCATTAGTGCTTCCTGGAAATAGGGCACCTAATAGCAGGCAGTGCTACTCTGGGCTTCTAAAGCTTGTTTACATCTTTATTTTGCACTATCCTATGCCTGAACTTCTGAATTGCAGGGTCTGGCACGTTCCAATTTCTCATGTGATGTCTTGCACTCCCTTTGGAAACAGAAAACCCAAGTGCTAATGTCAAGATGTTGTCCAATTCAGAAATTGGAAAAGACACTTTTATTAAACACAGACTTTACTGTGCCTGTTAATTCTTCTTACAGATGGTCTGTTCTTCCCAAAGTCACAAATATGTCATCCAAATTAAAGCTGTGCAGGTGACAATCCTACAGAAATTGAATAGCTGCTGGAGTGGAACCAGCCAGCTGATGTGGAGGATAATGCAGTAACGTCATGTTGTGTTGTTGGTTGTATGAAGAGCATGTCCTGTGCCTTCCCAGCCTTTGTATGGAATTGTGCAACTGAGATAGTGTGATGAGTCTTGATAAGGTCCTGTGGATGTGAGAGTTAGCTTTTTCATGGAAAATGTCCCTCATTATTACTTAAATATTGTCCAGAAGTATGACAGGCAGAACACTAGTTGAATTTCTAAGCTGAGGATAGTGGGGTGTGGACATTACATGATGCTGAGTGAAATGAGAGTTCCAGCTTTTCTTGCTGCTTGCATTTCAGAACAGAACTAATTCAGTTAGGTGCCAGTCATTCCATGAGCTTACTGAATTCTGGGGGCGCACATTTTCGTGGCACTGATGTACAGTGCCTTTGCGCCTTGCCTCACCCCATCACAGAACCTGCACGTTGGAAGGAATGGGAGCCTTTACTGATGCTCTGGGAGGAGTTCTGTATGCATCTGCCAACCTGTGTGTGCCTCATCTCCTGCTGTTTGGGAGTAAATTGGCGTGATGCAGGATCAAGTTCTGGGCAGCTGAGGAATTACCATGAAAGATGTGCCTCTGTCTTCCACACTTAGCTGGAAGTGAAGGAGTATTCATTACAGCTGCTATAGGAACCCCAGGATATTGTTGACCTTCTGGGCTGCAAGTGACATTACTGGCTCATGCTACCAACACCCCCAAGTTCTCAGGGCTGCTCTCAATCCATTCTCCACCCAGCCTGTATTTATGTTTGGGATTGCCCTGACCCAGGTGCAGGACCTTGCACTTGGCCATGTTGAACCTCATGAGGTTTGCACAGACCCACCTCTCAGGCTTGTCAAGGTCCCTCTGGATGGCATCCCTCCCCTCCAGCACCACACCCCACAGCTTGGTGCCATTATTAATTTGTGTGATTTGCTCTACCTTAACAATGAAGCTTTGAAGTTTTAGTAGTACTGCCTTGTCAGTTCATTAACAAAACAAAAGGTAGCACTCATGAGAAAAAATAAAGAACCCAAAAGATCTTTCAGCATAATCCAAAAGTTTTTAAATAGAGTGCAGTGGACGTACCTGAATGTACACATCTATTGTTTGGTGTCAGGAGCAAGCACATATATGGGTACTCATTCATATTTGGGGGTTTGGCAGGCTTTAAAATATGCCTAGTCTAGATTGATTAGATATATGTATTTCTAAAGGAATAATTTACTTTAGCTACTGGCAATTTCATATGCATTTCAGGTGATTCCTTTTACTCTGTGGAGTAACTCTTCCAGTGCCCTTTGACAGTTTTGGGCTTGAGTGATTTAGGAGATGACTGTTGACTATTCATAATGCCTTATAACAGTGTTCTAACAATGTGTTTTCAGAAGTAGATTAAGGTAGATGTCCTTGAGTTAACAAATGGTCAGATCCTTAAAGGCTGCTCCAAAAACTTATCCAGAAAGGTACTGGCATGAATTGAAATTATTTTTTGATATTTTTATCAGACTCTAATGCTTGATGGATCGCCTGGTATCAGGTAGCTGCTTCCTGTACCTGTAAATGGATATTAACCTGTATCTCTATAAATGCAGAGTGTGGTCTTTATTTAATTTGAAAAATAAACACTTTTAGAAGAACCCAAAAGTCGAGAAGTGTAAAAATGCACTGGTTTTTGTGTTAATTGGTGGGCAGGCCAGCAGCCATAGCCTTTCCCATTCCAAAGATGATCCTACTGGGGAGTCAGCGCAGGTCAAGGACAATGCAGCTCGGAAATGGAAGGGTAAATAGGTCCCTACAACTAATCTGCTGTGCCTCCCTCACACTGCCTTGTCCCCTCCTTCAGGGACAGAGCCGATTTGTGGCCGAGCTGGCGGTGGTGCCGTGGGTGGATGGCTTTGGTAAAGTGCCACAGGGTGCTTCTAGAAACAGCAGGAGCAGCAAGGTTTCACCAGGTGACTGCAGCTCCCAGGTGGGGAAATGAGGGTCTTTTCCTCCTTGAAGGAGCAGCACAGAGCACTGCTGTAGGCTCTTGGCAGCAGCACCACAGCTGCTTTTAGAGCTGATGCCATCTGCCTGCCCTGAGCCGACTTTCGATCTCCTACAGCCTCCGCTCTGCTCTAATGCAGTGGTAAACAGCCTACAGATGTAGAGTCAAAATTGTGGTGCAGGATTAAAATATTAGGGCACTGTTGTTTGTGCCAGTTCTAATGCTCCCTGCGGGAAATAGCGGAAAAGGCTTCATCTGATCAAAATTGGAAATAGTGATCAGGTTGTCAGGATTTTAGCTTAGTGTCTTATGTAAGTATTCCTGTATGTCAGAGCAAATCTCCATGGAGCACTCTAGTGTATGGGTGGGGGGTGTCAAAAATACACGGGTATAAGACAGCTTAATGAAATTAATTATTTACATGCAAGCTAAAAATGTGAGAGGTTCTTAGATCTGAAGGCTGTTAGATTTTTTTAGTTTGAAATATTCAGTGAGAGCAGGATGACTAAAGCAGAGCTGGAAAATACTGGAGGATCACATGAGGGCTAAAAATACTCATGCTATGACAGGGAAAATAACCAGGGCAGAATGAACTGTTTGTGCATGAATGCATTATATATAATGTGCCATCGAAAAGCCAATTGCACAAGAGGAATACTGATTTTCTGTAGGGAAACAGTATATCCTGCTGTGACAGATGTGCTGTAAATTAATTTTGAGGGATAAAAATACTCAGCAAGTCCGGTCTGGTCTTTATTTTAGCAGCTAGTGATACAATTAGAACTCCTGGGAGACTGGAGAACTCCTAATGCTTTTTTTTTGCTTTCCACCAAGACTTGCTACCTTTTTCCCCAGTGGCAGGCGGTAGGTGCTGGCAATGGCAATCTCTGTTCCCTGTGGTGCAGTGCTGCAGGACAGCGTGGCAGAGCTAGAGATGGAAAGAGCCGCAGGGTGACAAGCTGAGAGTGTTTTCATCCCTGGTTCATGCAAGGCCAAGGAATTGTACTGACCGAGGGGAACAGCATGTGCAGT